GCAAATGAAAATGATTTTTCCGATGGATTTTAAACAAATTAGTGCTGTTTTGTTCTTATTTTTATGGGTCTGTAATATCATTTCTTCCTTTCATAAGTAGTAGTTATTGACATCTGCACCCAACTTATGGTGTCAAAATAATTATGCGATTCTATTGCAGGCCATTAACAGTTTGAAGAATGTTGATTCTACAGCCCTGCTTCAATTTTTATATCCAATTCTAAATATGCTTCTTCATCTCATAAGCAATGGTGGAGAAACCCTTCAGGTTTGTCAACATTTTCCAGTGATTAAAGTGTCAACTTGTCTTTTTACGAGGTCTTTTGACCTTATTTAGGGCAAACTAGGTTAATTAAGCCTCACATTATTTACTATCCGGCCATTAACACCCCATAATCAATAAACACCACCACCATTAGTATTACTATTATTATTATTTAGTAGTAGTATTTTCCTATCTAAGAGGACTGTAGTGGGGTTAAATTACTCCAATGTTGCCCCCAAGATTCTTGGAACTAGTATAAATAGAATTGTTCTATTCATTAGATATGCTTTATAATGTTGGAGTAATTCCTTGAAGTATTGACAAGGTTGGGTGTTACCTTCTCTTGCATAGGGCAGAAAAGTTCTTGATTAATCTTTTACAATCCATCTCCCAACCACACCAATTCCTATTTTCTTTTCCCAACAATATTCTCAAATTCCAAAAATAAAAAAATAAAGAAGAAAGAAAAACAGAGACAGCCAACATCCAGCCCCTGTTTGTTCGGGGCCTAAGATTGCCAGCTGCCCTCAATCTTCAATTCATCTGTACAAAAATAGAGACACAGACAACAATATTGCAATCCTACACCATCAGTAAGTCCACTACATTACTATTCTTCAACCTACACAATTAAATCCTTTTTAATGGTGTGATTGCTGTCTTCTTTTTAGTTTAGTATTGCAATTTAGTCTCTTTCTCCTAAAAAAGAGCGTTACACTAGTACCTCAAGTTATTTGAGCTGGAATGATGACAAAAGATGATGCCACGCTAATGGAAATGCTCCGTCAAGGTGCAACTCCAAATTTGCGGGGCCAAAAAACGTTCAAGGAAAACACTTAGAGAATTGAAGGTCTTGATCTCTGAGACATCAAAGGCTGTTACAACAGTCATGAAGGATCCTACTTCTGTTGTGATGAAACTTGATTCCCTCATTGGTTCTCATTCAAGAAAAACATTTGCAACGATTATAGGGGATCTTGATTCTTTCACAAGATGACTTGCTTTTGTCGAAATAGCCCCTGCACACAAGAATTTTAACTCTGCGGAAAAATTATGCCAAATTGACGCAACTGCTAGACAAGCCAAATGTTTCTGTTATAATTGTGAGGAACTTGGGCCAACATCGTTTCAAACGCTTGTTCTACATAAAAATCGTGGAGCCAGAAGATTAGACATTACTTTCTTCTCTCTACTTGATTGCATCTAGGAATTCAGACGCCATTACCACCACCATTGGATTTGATCTTGCAAGCCACTTCCCGCCATCACCCGGGTCAATGCAACTGAATTTTTGTACGCTACTCGTATCCAAAACTCCAGCTCAGCCGCTATCTTTGTCTTCACCTATAGTGGCCATCTGCTATGTTTAGGTATCCCAAAATAGCAAATCAACAGTACCGACTGTCTTATCATTTAATGTGATTGCTTGATTATTGGTCTCCTAAAAATGCCATTTGTGAACTCGACATTCCATTTTACTCCTTCAAGTTTGAGGGCAAGTTTGATGCCCAAGAGGGAGCAATGACTCGAGCAACCTCTTTTCTTATATTATAATATTAGTATTATTCTTGTTGTTGGTTTTATTGTTATTGTTACTGCTGTTACTGCTGTTACTGCTGTTACTACTACTACTACTACTACTACTACCACTACTAGTACTAGTACTACTAGTATTATTATTATTATTATTATTATTATTATTATTATTATTATTATTATTATTATTATTATTATTATTATTATTATTATTATTATTATTATTATTATTATTATTATTATTATTATTATTATTATTATTATTATTATTATTATTATTATTATTATTATTATTATTATTATTATTATTATTATTATTATTATTATTATTATTATTATTATTATTATTATTATTATTATTATTATTATTATTATTATTATTATTATTATTATTATTATTATTATTATTATTATTATTATTATTATTATTATTATTATTATTATTATTATTATTATTATTATTATTATTATTATTATTATTATTATTATTATTATTATTATTATTATTATTATTATTATTATTATTATTATTATTATTATTATTATTATTATTATTATTATTATTATTATTATTATTATTATTATTATTATTATTATTATTATTATTATTATTATTATTATTATTATTATTATTATTATTATTATTATTATTATTATTATTATTATTATTATTATTATTATTATTATTATTATTATTATTATTATTATTATTATTATTATTATTATTATTATTATTATTATTATTATTATTATTATTATTATTATTATTATTATTATTATTATTATTATTATTATTATTATTATTATTATTATTATTATTATTATTATTATTATTATTATTATTATTATTATTATTATTATTATTATTATTATTATTATTATTATTATTATTATTATTATTATTATTATTATTATTATTATTATTATTATTATTATTATTATTGTTGTTGTTGTTGTTGTTGTTATTATTATCGGTATTACTAGTAGTAGTTCCTACCAATATATGTATTCTATTTTAGTTATCGTTCCTGATAGAAATATTGTAATAAGTTTAAAGTTACTCTAGTAGTGGCCCCCAGGACCCTGGAAACTAGTTTAAATTGAAGCTTTTTATTCATTAATAATATGATCAATAATTTTGGAGTGATTATCCTTTCCTTTCTATCTTTCAACAACTATTGTAACATATTCATTGCTAATGTGATCAATAATTTTTGAGTTATCCCTTAGAGTCTTCACAAGGTTGGATGTCACCTTTTGAAGCCTAGGGTGGAGAAGTTCTTCATCTCTATTGATTTCAATATCATCCAATCACGTCCGAAACAATTCGGTATTAATAAAATAAGGTTGTCTCATGATAGAGTTGCACAAAAGGAACATGGAGAAAGATTGTGGAAGTAACTTTCATGTTATTATAATTATTATTATTATTATAATTCTTATTATTAGTTCTTTATTAATTTTTCCATCAGTTGCAATGGAGCCAAATACTAACTATTTTTTGGCTTGGGAATATGATGGAGTAAAGCAAAATGACTCACTAAATTGTTTGCATTTCTTTTTTATGAAGTAACAATCAGTCCATGCAATTTTTGTCGGGATTTTCACTATGGGTCATCCGAAAACAATCTCTCTGTACTTTTGTACAGGGGTAGGACTGCTTAATCCGACCCTCCTTACCTCACCGTAAGTGGTAGCCTTTGCGGCACTGGGGTAATGATGATGATGAGTTCTTTATTAATATTTTTTCCCTATTATTCTTACTAGTAATGGTTTCCAATTAGTATATGTATTATATTTCCGTTAAAATTCCTAATAGCAATATGGTAATATGATAGGGACCATGACTTATGGGCTTATGGAGTGAGATATAATAGAAATAATTCTGAGTATTTTAATAAAATGTAATAGTGGGCTGGCCCATTAGAAATATAATAAATAAGTGAGAGTGGTGAAGAGATGGGCAAGCAGGAATTAGTTTGGGGACTTCGGTCTTGGGAGTGCAGGAGAGTACTCGAAGTGTCTCCAATTGTATCGATCTCTTTTCAAGTTTCATCAATTTCATCTCAATTCTACTTCAATTTCCCATTAGATTTCCATATACTTAACATTGGTATCAGAGCATTTTCGTGGGAAGCTTCGATCTAATCTAAGTCAGGCGATAAAAAAAATGGAGCATCGCAAGGAACATCGAAGGTCAGAACTGAAAGTGATCGGTTCTGGTTTGCGCACGAACATTGAGGAGCGTGTGTCTACTCATGGCGGAAAGGAACTTCGTAGGGAGCATGGAAGATCTGATCAGGATGCTTCAAGCGGAAAAGGGGAGAAGCTAGCGGAAAAGGTCGAGCGCGGAAAAGGAGAGAAGCTGGCGGAAAAGGTTGAAAGTGATTGGGCTAAGGAGATGCGTCATATTTTGGGCAAAATTCGTCACAGACTCGAGCGACTTAGAGACTGAGCTAGAAGCCCTCCTAGACACCGTCGGCCAATTTATTATCAGGTATCGTCGTTGTCGCAACCAGCTTCACAAAAGCAGATTTGCCTTAGTTCGTGTTATCAGAATTAAGCATATAATAGTAATGAGAATGGAAGAATTTTCTGTGTATTTCATTGGAGGGATAAGTCCTTATATATATACATTACAAAGATAGAATATTCCTATAAGATGCTATACAATAATAATATCTTAGAGTATATTCCTAAAATATTCTAAAGCATATTCTAAAGATAGAAGAATATTCTAAAGATAGAAGAATATTCTAAAGCATATTATACAGCATATTCCAATGTCTTTCACACTCCCCCTCAAGTTGGAGCATAGATATTTATCATGCCCAACTTGTTACATAAATAACCAACACGAATTCCATTTAGTGCTTTAGTGAACAAGTCTCCAAGTTGCTCTCCCGTCTTCACATATCCTGTAGAGATCAATCCTTGTTGTATCTTTTCTCGAACAAAGTGACAATCGACCTCAATATGTTTTGTTCTCTCATGAAACACTGGGTTGTTGGCAATGTGTATAGCAGCCTGGTTATCACACCAGAGTTTAGCAAGCATTGGTGTCTTCAGTCCGATTTCACTCAATAGATGGTTTATCCAGATTATCTCACATGCCGATTGTGCCATAGCCCGATATTCTGATTCAGCACTCGAACGAGAAACCACATTCTGCTTCTTACTTTTCCAAGAGACGAGATTTCCACCAACAAAGACGCAATAGCCAGATGTGGATCTTCTATCATCTTTAGATCCAGCTCAATCAGCATCTGCAAAGCATTCTATGCGCATGTGATTATGATTTTGATAAACAATACCTCGTCCTGGTGTCCCCTTCAAGTAACATAATATATGCTCTACAGCATTCCAATGATCAACTGTCGGAAATGACATATATTGACTTACTACACTCACTGAGTATGCAATATCTGGACGGGTAACTGCGAGATAATTAAGCTTTCCAACCAACCTTCTATATCTTTCTGGATCTTCGAATGGTACGCCTTCATGAGTGAGCTGCACATTGGGAATCATGGGAGTATTGCTCGGTTTTGCCCCCAGTTTCCCTGTTTCAGTTAGCAAGTCAAGCACATATTTACGTTGAGATAGAAATATGCCTTTCTTGCTTCGTAAAACCTCAATCCCCAAGAAGTATTTCAATGAGCCCAAATCTTTCGTCTGGAATTGACTATGAAGAAAATTCTTAAGAGCCAAAATACCTGCATTATCACTCCCTGTAATCACAATATCATCGACATACACCACAAGCAATGTGATACCTGCTGTTAAGGACCTGGGCACTACCAATAATTGGTGTCTATTAAGTTTTTTAGGTATTTTAATGTTGTTCAATAATAGGGTTCTAGGCCCAATAATTTAAGTGAGGGTTTATTAATAAAAGGGGGAATCAAGCTTGGGGGGAATGGCCTAAATAAATGTGGAAGCTAAAGGCAAACAGATGAGTCAGGAAAAGGAGGCTGGGATTTGGGAAAAATTGGGATCTGGGAGAGATCGAGGCCCTCTCGAATTGGTCTCGGCTTGTATTCTTCTTATTTTCTAATATATCAATAATATTTTCTACACCAATTCTCTGTGTCTAACATTGGTATCAGAGCCAACGGTCCTGCGGGCTGTGAATGACACTGACGCGATCAAAAATGGAACATCGCTTAGAGAATCTCGAGCAAAACGTGAGCAACATCGAGCAGAAACTGGAACGTAACAGCACAGAGGTGCGATCGATAGCAGACAAGTTGGATGGGGTGATGGCCGAGCTTCGCCGTCTCGCGAACAACCAGAGTCATCGGCAATCCAGGAGTAGGTCGCGGTCGACTAAGCAAACCGATGCACACTCTCGGACAGGATCTTCGCAATCTGGAGGTGATTCTCATAGTGCGGCCGTTGATTCTCGCGAACCACATATTTCTCATGCTAAGCGAGGAATTGAGAGAACCGGAAGGAAAGTAGATCTTCCTCTATTCAACGGAGAGGATGTTAATGGATGGATTATTAGAGTGGAACGTTTTTTCAAGTTGAATCTGGTGCACGATCATGAAAAAGTGGAGCTGGTTGTCCTGGCCATGGAGGAAAAGGCTTTGAACTGGTTCCAATGGTGGGAGGAACAAAACAAGGAGAAAACATGGGAGAAATTCAAAGGAGCTTTGATACGGAGATTTCAACCAGAGCTCGTGCAGAATCCTTTTGGGCCTATGCTAAGCCTTAAACAGACTGGATCAGTGATGGAATATAGAGAACATTATGAACGAGTGGCAGGTCCAATGAAGCATACTGACGAGGAAATGCTCAAAGGAATTTACCTTAATGGCCTGAAGGAAGAAGTGAAGGCTGAGCTCAAGTTATACCCAAATGCTGCCCTCCCTGAACTGATGGATATCTCTCTGGTGTTAGAAGGGAAGAATGCTGCATTTCGAGGGGAACAATATCAGGTTGGGGACCAGAGGAATGGAAAGGAGAAGGGAGGGACTATGTTCAGGCATTTGAACTGGGGGGAAGCAATTAAGGGAAGAACACTTCCTAATCAATCCCGAACTCCTGAGGGAACACTTTCAGGGGACAAGCAAACTACTGAGAAAACACCTTCGGAGAACAAGCTGGAGGAATCTCCAAAACCGAATAAGAAATGGGAGGGAGGCCAAAGGTTGACACAAGCAGACTTAGAAGAAAGAAGCAGGAAGGGCCTATGCTTCAAATGTGGAAACAAATGGGGCAAAGAGCATGTTTGTGGAATGAAACATTATCAATTTGTATTGATGGAAGAGCCAGAAGAAGAAACGGGAACAAGTGATCAACAGCCCGAACTGGATGTAGCCGTTAACTCACTGAAATCAAATGCCAGAGCAGTATCTTACGACCCACCTTGAGGACAAGGTGGAAGTTCAGGGGGGGAGTGATGTTAAGGACCTGGGCACTACCAATAATTGGTGTCTATTAAGTTTTTTAGGTATTTTAATGTTGTTCAATAATAGGGTTCTAGGCCCAATAATTTAAGTGAGGGTTTATTAATAAAAGGGGGAATCAAGCTTGGGGGGAATGGCCTAAATAAATGTGGAAGCTAAACAGGTTGAGCTGGAGAAAGGAAATGAAAGGGTGGTCTAAATAAATGTGGAAGCTGGACAGGCTGGAGAAAGGAAATAAAAGGCAAACAGATGAGTCAGGAAAAGGAGGCTGGGATTTGGGAAAATTGGGATCTGGGAGAGATCGAGGCCCTCTCGAATTGGTCTCGGCTTGTATTCTTCTTATTTTCTAATATATCAATAATATTTTCTACACCAATTCTCTGTGTCTAACACCTGCTTTTGTTCGTCTGTAAAATACAGAGTGATCTGATTTGCCCTTTATCATTCCAAATCGTTCAATTGATTGACTGAATTTCCCGAACCATGCACGGGGACTTTGTTTCAAACCATAAAGAGACTTGCGAAGTCGACACACTTTTCCATACTCCCCCTGAGCAACAAACCCTGGAGGTTGCTCAATATAAACTTCCTCTTGAAGATCACCGTGCAAGAATGCATTTTTAATGTCCAACTGATGTAAGTGCCAACCATTAGTTGCAGCGAGAGAAATAAGTAACCTGACAGATGTTAATTTAGCAACAGGAGAAAAAGTGTCAGAATAATCAACACCATAGGTTTGAGCATAACCCTTCGCTACTAATCGGGCTTTTAAACGAGCAACGAATCCGTCAGGGTTAACCTTTACAGCAAAGACCCACTTACATCCAATAGATTTCTTCCCTGTAGGCAAGTCTACCAAATCCCAAGTACCATTAAGATCCAAAGCATTCATTTCCTCTACCATGGCATGACGCCATTCAGGATGAGACAAAGCGTCTTTAACAGATTTGGGAACAGAAATAGAATTAATGGAAGCAATAAAAGAACATGAGGTAGATGATAACTGATTATACGACACAAATGAAGAAATAGGATGAGTACAAGACCGTGTACCTTTACGTAGTGCGATAGGGAGGTCAAGATCTGATGTAGAGGCAGGATCTGGAGATGCAAGTATTGGTTCAGGACATGAGATCGAGACCGGATCAGTATTAGGATAAGTAACCACAGGTGGAGGGTGATCTTGTACTTTGTTTCGACGGGTGTAGACCAAGTGTACCGGGGGCCTAGGCTCAGGAAAAGTAACATGTGGAACAACGGCTGAAGCAGTGGACTCGGGTATAGTGACTGTGTAAATGAGTATATCATCATTCTCCCTACAAATATTTGTCTCTGTTGATGAAAACGGTGTATTTTCATAAAAGGAGACATCAATTGAAACAAGATATTGACCCGTACTTGGACAAAAACATCTGTAACCCTTTTGAACTCGAGAGTAGCCTAAGAAAATGCACTTTAATGACTTGGGATCTAACTTTGTTAAATGGGGATTAACATCTCGTACAAAACAAGTGCAACCAAATATTTTAGGAGGGATAGGAAAATTTTCATTATTTGGAAATAGGCACTGATATGGAGTTTTACCATCCAAAACAGTAGATGGCATTCTATTGATCAAAAAACATGCGGTAGACACAGCATCTGCCCAAAACTGTTTAGGCACATTCATTTGGAATAGAAGAGCCCGCGCAGTTTCTAATAGATGTCTGTTCTTTCGTTCAGCAACTCCATTTTGTGGAGGTGTGTCTACACATGAAGTTTGATGAATGATGCCATGTTGAGCCATATACGACTTAAATGAGGAAGACAAATATTCTTGAGCATTGTCTCCCCTTAAAATACGAACAGGTACATTAAATTGAGTTTTAATTTCAGCACAAAAGGCACAGAAATGAGAAAATAACTCAGAACGACGTTTCATGAAATATATCCAAGTCATACGAGAATAATCATCAACAAAGGTAACAAAATACTTAACACCAGTTTTGGACACAACAGGGCAAGCGCCCCAAACATCAGAATGAACAAGTTCAAAAGGAGCATGTGCTCGTTTATTGACTCGGGGACTTAAACTAGTTCGAGGATGTTTTGCAAATTGACATGAATCACACTGTAAAGATGACACCTTATTAAATTGAGGATGAAGTTTCTTTAACAACGGGAGAGAGGGATGGCCTAGTCGATAATGAGCCTCTAACACAGTTCCAACTCCAAGACAAGAGATGGATTTGGGTAAGGATGTATCCAAGAGATAGAGACCAGCCGACTCATATCCTTTACCAATAACCCGATTCGTCACCAGATCCTGAAAAACACAATATCCAGGAAAAAAAGTTACAAAGCAATTAAGATTACGTGTGATTTTGCTGATCGAAATCAAATTAAAGGCAAAGTTTGGAAGACTTAGGACGGGTGACAAAGGTAAGGTAGGTGTTGGGACAATTGTACCCGTTCCAAGAACTGGTGACGTAGATCCGTCAGCCAAAGTAACACTAGAAGTATGAAGAGGTGTGTGGAATGAGGAAAAAAGACTAGGATTACCTGTCATATGATCTGTTGCCCCTGAATCGATAACCCATTTTGAGGATGAAGACACAAGACATGTGTTTGGATTACCTGAATTAGCGACAGCTGAGATAGGAGTAGATGAATGCTTTAGAGTCTCTTGGTAGCAAAGAAATTTGGCGTATTCCTCAGAAGACATACTTATTGATCCATCAGAAGACTGTGTAACGGAAGCAATGTGAGCAACCTGATTTCCTTGATTTTTGAATTTTAATTTTCTACAATCTTTGATCAAGTGTCCAGGCTTTTTACAATAGTTGCATACTATGCCTTTGCCAGATGGACCAGTACATGGATATTTCTCACCTCCTCTGGTGAATGTCGGAACTTGCCCTACAAATGCATTGCTTGACTGAGGTGCTAATGGTGTGGATGAAGTATCGGTGCGAAGCACTCTAGTGAAAGACTCTTGAAGAGAAGAGACCTCATCACTAGATAAGATATGTGATTTGGCTGTTTCAAATTCAGATGTTAGACCAGCCAAAAAACTCATCACTGCCATTTGTTCTCTTTGTTTCTGCTGCACTTTGATATCAGGACTAAATGGCATTAATGTATTCAGCTCTTCATAGGTTTTCTTGAAATCCATAAAATAAGCCGTGAGAGGCTTATCTTTCATTTCTGCTCTGTAAAAGGCTTTGCACACCTCATAGATGTGGTTAAGATTACCTTTTCCAGAATACATAAATTCCAAATAATCAAACAATTCTTTCACAGTATCGCAATGACTAACGTACCCCATTACCTCATTCTCCATTGAGTTTTGAATCTGGATAAATAATCTAGAATCGTCACGAAGCCAGGCAGTATTAGCAGCTCTATCAACCTCCTCCTTTGGCGGGTCATCAAGTAAGTGGGTATATTTATCAATGCTCCTTAAATAACGTTTGATAGTTTTACTCCATTCAAGATAATTGGAGCCACAAAGTTTATTCTCAGTAATTTTAAAATTAATGGGAATAACTTCAGAAACTATCAAAGGCTGACTTCGTGTTACTGCGGAGGTGTCAGTGTCAGAACCAGGCATGTTTTTTTTTTTTGAGACCGTAATAAAGTTTAAAATTGAGATATTTAATTTAATGAGAACTTACAGCAGCCCGTTTTGGGCTTGAGAACAAAAGATACAATCTGCTTGGGCTTTGACTGCTACTCCAGACATAAGTCAGATGCCAGACCCCAACGAATAATCAGCCACATGAAATAGTGTGCGTATGTCCACAGACTGAATGAGTAATTGTCGGAGTCGGAAATTCGCCGGGTAGATGGTCGGACCTGGCAGAGATTCTGAATAGAGAGCTAAAATAAATCTGTCCTGGGAGACAGAATGGTGCCTAGAGGTTTTGAAGAATCTGAACTGAACTCAGGTTTCTTTGAGGAAGAACCCAGTATGAAAAACTAAGCTAAAATCTAAAAGAAAAGGAACTAAACTAAAATGGAGGCTCTGATACCATGTTATCAGAATTAAGCATATAATAGTAATGAGAATGGAAGAATTTTCTGTGTATTTCATTGGAGGGATAAGTCCCTATATATATACATTACAAAGATAGAATATTCCTATAAGATGCTATACAATAATAATATCTTAGAGTATATTCCTAAAATATTCTAAAGCATATTCTAAAGATAGAAGAATATTCTAAAGCATATTATACAGCATATTCCAATGTCTTTCACAGTTCGCAAGCTCCGCAACTTGCTCCGTCGCTGTCGCCATCAGTTTATCCCAGTTCGAAATTCACAGAAGGCTATCTCAGTTCGCATGTTTCTTCATCTGCTGTCAGTGCTACTCAATCGAGAGACGAATCTCCCTGTTCGCAGGTATTGTGACAAAACACTTTTCCCTGTGAGCAGGTTTCATCCGTCCGACAGGAGTCTGTGAGTGGGCGGCAACCTTCCTCTGATGATGAGAGTGCTTCGCAATTAGGAGAAAAAGCAGTGAAGTTCACTGAGAGCGATATCAGTGAGGAGAAATCGTCAGTGGTAGCTGGACTTGAAGTTGGCGCAAATGCAGTCCCTGTTCCTCTTGGATGCTCAGATTCTCATTGTTCTCGATGTTCTATGGGACTCTTCAACTTGGTTGAGTGTAGAGTTCAGCCGGTAACTTCTCAATATGGTAATAACCCAAATGCTTCATATGGTCAAAATCTTAGGCTACAGCCAGACACTGAGGTTCCGAGAGTGTTAAATATGAGACTGTTTGGAGTGACTGTCAATCCTAGATCAACAGGTGAACTGTCAAAAGCAGTTGAAGTTTCTTACAGCTCCTTATTTTCTGATGAGCATATTAAAGGGGATGATAATGTTGAGGTTCAGGGCATAAAAACAAATTCTGCCTCTGGTGAGGTACTTGAGGCAGTAAGGGACAGGGCACTGACTTTCAGAGTAAACTTTGACGAAGCTGGTATACACAAGGATGGCAGTGATGTAGTTTGGCCACCATGGAGAAGTAAAAATGTCTCAGGATATTAGTTAACACAACCTCTGATCGAAGGAGTAATGCAAGATCACTTAATTGCAATGTCACAGATAACTCATGAGCAGGAGCATCCGGATTCTTCAATTCCTCTACAACCTGTTGAGATGCTGAACACTCCTTCAGAGAAAGCATCTCTCAGTTCGGTCCACATCAATCCTCATGAAGAAGTCAACACATCCTATAAACACTTTGCTTCCTATAAACATTTTGCTGCCTGTGATATCTTATCTGAGGTGAAGGTCACTAATTCAGATGTCAAGCCTATGAGGGAAGAAAAGGGGAAGGAGATTACTGTTGACAGTTTTTGTGCTAGTAGGAATTTTGCCATTAGTGTGAAAGTGAACAAGGAGGGTGCCTTTCACTACTCTAAGAAATTCTGGTACTTCTTGGGTGAAATTTTAACAGAAGAAACTGGTAGACCAATTGTTTTTAAAAACTCTGACATTTCAGCTATGCCTGAGATTGGTAAGGCTGAACAGATAGGTGGATGTCAATCATGTCATAAACAGAAACTACTTGAGGGGCCTGGCAGTTATGCTCATGAAGTTCAGCCACTGGTCAGGGTGTTGGAATCTTGTGCTATGGAGGTTCGGGTACTTCCCATGAGGACTTTGGTTGCTGCCTTACCTGGTTCTATTGGACGCACAGTTCTGGATGTATCTCGAGGTTCACTGGAATTCTTCAACTCGTTTTTGGGTAGAGTCCGGCATGTCACTTCTGAAAATGAAATTCAGGTTTGGAGTCGGGAAAACAAACACTTGTTTGTTATATTGAAGTGGGGGCAAAACATAACCTCATTCTCTGTTAGCCATGACACTCATTACATGTGCATAGGGGATGAATATAGTTACAAGTCTGAGCTGAAATGTGAGGCAGAGAAAAGACATGTTGTACAATTGCCATATTATGTTCCTCCCGACTATGTGCAATTGATTCCCAGCCAACTATCTATTATTAGTTTGGTTCTGCACTCAGGTAATGATCTGGATGTACCAAAAGGTGAGGATTGGGAGTTGAAAGTGGTTCACGGGATCGATGGCAGAATAATATCCATGTACTACCCTGCTACTGGAACTCAGTGGCTTTACAGCAAAGTAGGTATGAACGGCGATGCAGAATATAGTGGATTTGGGTACAGATATGCTGGATGCATGGAAGGGTATTATGTCATTGAAAAGGATCAAGAGCATGCAGGAGGAGTCAAATCTTTTGCATTACAAAGAAATAAATAAATTTTGGTTCAATGGAGACAACTATCTAATTTAGAAGATTTTTGGAAAAGTTTCAGCAAATGCCAGGAGGAATGGATGACAAAGGTTCAAGTACCGGAGCTAAAGGCACTGAAATCGGTGAGGTACTGGGAAGGAAGGGGCACGAGGATGAAGCTGGATGGCATGGCTGCTCTTACTCCCCACCTTGAGGACAAGGTGATTGTCAAAGGGGGGAGTGATGATAGGGACCAGGACTTATGGGTTTATGGAGTGAGATATAATGGAAATAATACTGAGTATTTTAATAAAATGTAATAGTGGGCTGGCCCATTAGAAATAGAATAAATAAGTGAGAGTGGTGAAGAGATGGGCAGGCAGGAATTAGTTTGGGGACTTCGGTCTTGGGAGTGCGGGAGACTACTCGAAGTGTCTCCAATTGTATCGATCTCTTTTCAAGTTTCATCAATTTCATCTCAATTCTACTTCAATTTCCCATTAGATTTCCGTATACTTAACATAATAAGTTTAGGGTCACTTTAGTACTGGTCCACCGAGGCTCTTGGATGTTGGAATATAATTCGAGGTGCTCTGCTCAGTGTTGTTTTGGTGAATAATTTTGGAGTTAATCCTTAGAGTCTTGACTCTAGGTCAGAGCTCACCTTCTCTTGCCTGGAGGAAGTTGTTCGTTTTTGCCGATTCAATCTTCTTCCTTTTTTACCTCTCAACCACACCCGCTACGGGGCATTAACTATTAATCAACCCAAGCTTCGTGGAAAATGTGACCAACTTCGCTCCAAAAGATACCGGTAGAGATGGTCTAAAAACAGGTCAACCCAGTCAAAATAATAAGGCTATCGAGATGAGTTATTGCATTGAAACTCCAAAAACTTTATTGTCATTTCTCTTTAATGGGAAAAGATGTGAAATGACCACATTAAAAGGGGAGCTTGGGATTTAATAATCTTAGCTGTATGCATGCAACGTACCTTGCCATAAACTGCAATCGGAGTTAAATCTGAGAGTGTGAGAGAGGGTTAGAAAGAACGGCGGTGGAGCAGGGCAGCAAGCGAGTGGCCGTAGCAGGATAGCAAGCAAGTGGCCGGAGCAAGGCAGCAAGCGAGTGGCCGGAGCAGGATTATTGGTCCATCGGCGCCGTCGCTGACTCGGCCAGCAATTCAGCTGGGCTGCCTGGGAGAGTAGGCGGGCTGCCTGGCAGACCCAGGCGGCATGGCGGTGACGCAGGTGGAACGGTGGTAATGCAGGCGGCAGCGGACAACAGGCTACGGTCGAAGAGGCGAGTGGCGGACTGGCGACCTTCGTGTGTCTATGGGCTCTGGCTGTGCGACTTGCAGACTTCAAGAAGAAGACATGTTTGTCGGGGTTTAGGACTTCCGGTATTTACATACGCATGACTATATTATTTTGTAACTAATACACTGTCATGGCGGAATCCGCACGTTCAGAAATATGCCCAAACAGCAAGAGAAAACTAAGAAAGAGGTTCACCTTGACAAGGAAATAGAAGGAGTGGAGGAATTGATGAGAACACACCAGTGGATGAAATCAAAGGACCAAATATGTTTGAGCGAGCTAAGGAAGAAATTGTGGCTGTTGTCGAAGCAATTCATCCTGGCAAGTGATTCTTTATTTCGGATAGGTTAAAGGGTCAAATAGGTACATGAACTAACTTAAAGTGTTCAATTAGCCCCTTATATAGGATGTTCTGCCCGGCCGTCGCCAATTGGGGCGGTTCCCGGTGGAATTTTTTGATGACATTTTTTAAGCATCTTCTTCGTTAAGTCTAGTTTACCCATATCAAATTTCAGCTAAAAATTAAATCGGGAAGGCATTCAAATGATTTTCCGAAATGTACTGCGCTGTTTAACTGTGCAGTTATCTTCAAAAAATCATTTGACTGCCTTCCCGGTTGAATTTTCAGCTGAAATTTGGTATGGGTAAACTAGACTTAATGATGAAGATGCTCAAAAAAATTCATCAAAAAATTCCACCGGGAACCGCCTCAATTGGCGACAGCCAGGCAGAACATCCTATATAAGGGGCTAATTGAACACTTTAAGTTAGTTCATGTACCTATTTGACCCTTTAGCCTTTCGGATATGGTTCTTGGGAGCACTCACATATTTTCAATGAGATTGTTATTTCTCTTAATTAACTTTTTGTTTCAAATTTTAAATTTAGAATGCTATATGTTTGCAGTTCATAGATTTGGTTAAAGAAACACTTAAAATTTAAGATTTAATGTTAGATCTAGCATGCCATATAATGTATTGTGATAGAGTAGTTGATGGTAGATGGGGAGATTTCTGGTGGATAAATCAAGAGGGAATTATAATTTGGTGTTGAGAAAGACAGGTTCCTGTGAAGAAGATTATAGAGATGTATGGAGAAGGAGAGAGAAGTGGGGATTGGGGAGACGAACATTTTTATTGCCTATGGTTTTGTATTTGTACCAAGTATGTTTATTAGGTTAATTTCTTAAGTTCGACACTGGCTTCAGCACTATTTTGATTTCAGATTCATCTAACCTCACATGTTTAAACATATACTATCTTTAATACTCCATATTTAACAACAAATGAACTTTAAATTAATTTAAAATTGCTTCTTATTTAATAATAAGAATGATCAGTTTTGAAGAACTTAATTCTTATTTATTTAAAAATACAAATTGTTATATAATTATTGAGGCAAAACTTCTCACTAGGAGTGGATCAATGGGTCTTGATTCCTAGGTTTACCATGTACTCTCTCAGACTTGAGACTTATTTTAAGTTTTAGAGAAGATAATTTTCAATAATTATTTAGAACTCTTATGGCATGTTTCCACTTTCCACAATATGACTTTTCATTATGTATTTAATTTACAATTTGTTTTTTGCATGTATCTATTCTGTATCTTTATATAATATAGCTACTCTTAATTATTTTGTTTAAATTTGCTAACTGTTCATCGCACGGGTGAAATACTAGTAGAGACTAAGTGACTACTTGTGTATAGCTGACAGACTATAAACATTTTCCCATTTACTTCTTCAGGTTGCAGCCTTCAGAGCTATGGTTAACATTTTAACAAGGTATATTTGTGAACTATCATAGGAACAATGTGTTCCCATGTGAGTGAGGTTAAGAGAAAGTAGAACGATATTTAGTTACATGCTGAACAATTGCATTTGGATTTGTATTTCTTTTTTAGTACTACCTCCGTCCCATTTTATGTCCTATTTTGGTTTGACACAATTATTAATAATGTGGTTGAAAAGTAAAGTTGTGGTTGACTTGAGTAGAATAAAGTGAAATTATATGAACCACATATTTCTTTCCAAAAAGGGAAACATGAAATTTATTTTGGGACAACCCGAAAAGGAAAGTAAGACACATAAAAGGGACCGAGGGAGTATTTTGTTTGTAAGTAGGGTTATCTTTGTATGCATGATACTCTGGCAATAATTTCAGGGTGCATCAAGAGTCAGTTGATGAAGCTGAAAGAAATGTTTACCTTGTAAGCTACGTAGACTATGCTTTTGATGATTTTGGTGGTCGCCAAGCACCGGTTTATCCTGGTTTAGCAACAGTTTGGGGAAGCTTGGCTCGGAGTAAGGTATGCTTCTTATGATGTAGGCTTCTGTTCTGCAAGTTATTTTCATACATAACATTTTAGGTGGAAGTTTGCTTTGTGGAGGCCTTTTCCATAAAATATAACAAGAAAAAGTTATAACTAGGTAAGCTTCACATTGTGTAAATTTAATGTTTAAACATGAGCAGAAATCGAGGGTCATTTGCTATTGCTGAATAGTTTCTTGTTTGGCTCCTAGCTGTAGATCATGAAACTCTCTAGTTACTTCTCAAGCGTATGAATATGAAGGCTATTGAAAGCTTTTAATGAAATTAGTTTCAAATCTAAAAGTCAAGCCTTCTATCTGTGCTGCGGCTTCGTCTGCTCTCTCTCTCTCTTTCTCTCTCATGTAACACACAATTTTTGTGACTTAGCAGCTTGTCACTGATCTTTGCTGCCCTCCAGACCTTCCATATCATTATCTCTCAGCACAAGATAGAATTTTGACAATCACTATATTGTGATTTCTATTTGTTTAATAGTTATGCTTTCAGAGTAGCAAAGCAGTGCCTATCCACTTAGAATAGAAAGCATCTGCTTTCTATTATTGTTTATCAGTCCATCATTCTGACCAGTAAGAGCTCAAATCACATCTTGCTAAAGAAGTATGAAGCGTTAGCATACAAAACTTTGTGTTTGATATCAATAAATATAGCTATTGTTGTAACCAACGAGTCATATGTTTTACATGGTATCAGAGCCATATAGTATGTACTACCTCCGTCCCACTAAGATTGGGACAAGAGAAAGTGACACAGTTATTAAGAAAAGTGGGTTTGTGTGGTTGGTATTAAATTGATAAAGTAAGAATGATTTAGAGCCACACAAACTTTACCAAATTTGGTATGGGACAATCTTAGTGGGACGTCCCGAAAAGGTAAAATGAGACAATCTTAGCGGGACGGAGAGAGTATATGAGAGTAATTTTTAGAAATCTTCAACTTGATATCTGAGAGTGATTTTTAAGTTTCAGTGATCCATTCATATGATTGTTGCATCGCTATGACAATTAAGAAGAAAAGTGGGGACAATCATAGCCTTATGTTGGAGTTGTTACTATTATATTATTAAACAAATGCACATTTGTGCAAATACAAGGTACCAACAATATCATTAACTTCATAAATACCGTAAGTCAGTAATAATACATAACGTGCAGATATCAATTTTACAATAGCAATTATTTGAACGTAACACATAATGAAAATCACTTTGGGTGCAAACGAAACTTTGCATTTTTTCATTGTAGATTTCGATAATGGTATTGCTTAACATGATTTCTAAAGTATGAAGTATATAGGGAAAACTGTCAAATAGGTCCTCGAACTTTCATAAAAAGGTCCTTATATAGGAGGCTCTGTCCGGCCGTTACGATTTGGGGCGGTTCCCGGTGGAATTTTTTGATGAAATTTTCTGAGCATCTTATTCATCAAATCTAGTTTACTCATACCAAATTTAAGCTAAAATTTCAATCGGGAACGCATTCAAATTAATTCTTGAAGATAATTGCTCATATAACTGCACAGTTATTTTCAAGAATTAATTTGAATGTGTTCCCGATTGAAGTTTTAGCTGAAATTTGGTATGAGTAAACTAGACTTGATGAATAAGATGCTCAAAAAATTTAATCAAAAAATTCCACCGGGAACCGTCCCAAATTGCGACGGCCGGACGGAGCCTCCTATATAAGGACTTAGTTGACCTTTTTATGAAAGTTCGAGGACCTATTTGACAGTTTTCCCAAGTATATATTATTATTGTTTAAGGGTGAACGTTGATTTAGTCCTTTTTTGCTTTCATCTTAATTGTTTTCTATAAATTTTAGAATAACTATTCATAAAAAAATTAATGTCCCGTGAATCACACGGGTATCATACTAGTTTTCATTTTATTCATTTTTAGTTTTCTGGGGTGAAGTTTCCTGGAACGTTTTTCAGGCACTTATTTATGTTCAAAGGCTTTTTGTGTGCTTTCAAAATCAATCTTGCTGCTCACCTCAGAACATCAGCATGACCCACCACCAGAAAACTCGCCTCCAGAAACCTACTTACGTGCTGCCACACACCGCTGGAAGTATAAAAACTACACTGTTCATCTCTGGATTTACTGTTTTCCGCAGCTCCATTTTGGTCACTCCCGGTACTAGGAGATCAGCATCCTTCGTTGACCCTCCCTAGAAAATTTTGAGTCTGTTTGGTGCTACCGCTGGACCA